AAACTATTAACAAGTTAATTACTAAAATAAAAAAAAAAAAAAAAAAATCAGATTTTTCAGTGAAGTATTTTTAATAAAGATTTGTCAGTTAATATATCAGGTCTTTTTTAATAGTCCGAGTGCAAAGTGATTTTTATGTTAAGATTAAAAGTACTTTTCTTCTCAGAAATCACAGGTTTCATTTGCATTATCTCTAAGACCTAAATACAGTTCAAACGTTTTTTTCAGTAAAACCTTATAACTTCTGTTATTTTCTCTACCCCAACCCTCTACAAGTTTAGTCAATTTGACCAACCTCGTAACCACAAAAAAAATCTAAATTACCACTTTTTAATTTCTAGAATGACTTCAGATTGTAACATGAAACATTTGTTTATCCTTAGTGGCTTTAAATTTGTAACAATATACATGTATTTATAGTAAAATTATTTTATTGCCCTTTGAACTGTGTTTAACTACTATTAGTGCCTATAAATTGTATATCACTATACACACATATAAACATACATTACATACACCAATGGTAGTAGTGCACTAAATGTCCCATAACAATCACAATTATTCTGGCTTTCTAACTATGCAACAAGAGCTGTTACAAATTCATCCAAGCTAGTCGATGTGTTTCCCATGGGAATGAAGCTTGTACTGAAAGGGAAATTGACAACTGTATGTACAGGAAACAATGTAATATAATGTCATTTGATTGATGAAAATCTTACCTTTCTATTAGTTACAGTTAATATAGCATTAAAGAGAGTGTGACAGGTGGGTGTGGCAAGAGGGGTCCAATTTGCTATTTGATGGCTCTGTAACCAAACAAGATTTAAAGCTCTAAAAATTATGCTATGTTTCAGCAATGATGATTTCATAGTGGGCAATTTGTGTTAATTTTCATACTTATTGGAGGGGTGGTGAATAAATTAGAGAAGAGGGGATGCCTCGAGAGAAAAATCATTTTTCACATTGCCTTATAAAACTTAAACTCATACTTTTAAAATATGGATTATTAGCTGTGATTTTATGCTATATTAATTGGTATAACAAACAAAAAGTAGTGTAACCAAATTTTGAATGTAACTCACTTTAATCTCGACATGCGTAGTAAAGGATGCTCATAGTGAGATGGTTAATGGTTAAACTATTATATTATCATTGTATACAAATAAAATTGACATCAAAACACAACTAATAAATGAAATTTTAATACAAGTTAAGTTCTTAATTTTATAAAAAAAATATAAAAAAATCCACAATCTCCCCTAGTATAAGAATTAATACATTTGCACTCTATAGGGAAGGCAGCAGAGCAAAGTTGAATTGACTGAAAACACTGAGGAAGGAGATATAGGGGAAGTGAATACAGTACCAATGAATAGCTTTTACACTCCGAAATGCAATCAAAGCCATTATCTGGAACCTACTGCTCAGATACTTCATTGAAACTTAAAATAATTTCAAATATATTTATATTTATGTACATTATATGGAATACATTTATACCAACATTAGTATATATAAAATTAAACTAGTGATATATATAAACCTAAAGTTAACTATACATACCCAAAAATTTACAAGTTCAGCTGTATGAAAATTTGAGGCAATTGCCAACAGGCATATTTTCATTGCCCCAGACCATTATTCCTTCCTTTTAACCCTTTCAAGACGGGTCATGGGTGAAAAGCCATGTCGTCACATTTATTAACTCGCATTCAAAATTTTATTGAACTACTATTTCATGAATTAATGTCAATAAATTTAGTGTCCAACTGTAGAATACAGTTCAAATTTTAGTACTATATATTACTCAATTTCTTAATTTAAAAGTAAATATTAAAACACACAAACGATTTTTGTGTGTCACATGGTATGTTGAATGCAGCACTGGTTCAAATAAGATGTTTGTGAAGTAAAAATACTAAGTCTATAGTTTCGTACAAATTAGAAACTCAAATTACCAATATTGACAAGCTGGAATATAAAATAAGAGCCTCTTGTCTTTTCAATTTGCTAAGATATTGCTCATGTAATAAATCAAACACAGTGACACCCTAGCCACCTCTTTCCATTTTTGGAAACACTCCCTGATATACACTTAATTCTATATATGACATGAATAACCAATCGGAAGCTCAGAATGTCATCCTAACGGCTTTCTCAGTCATTTGGCACCATAATGGTCTTGGCACCATTTTTTCTTTTGAACCAATATTTAAACCAGGTAGGGTGTGTCTAGTCTGCTCGAAATTTCTTATTTTTTTAAGACTAAAATACATCTTAGTTATTAAGCTTTCTAAATTATAGTGGAATTCTATGGTATTAATGTAATAATTTAGGATTTTTTAGTTATTCAAATGTATATATCTGAAAAAAATATTTTGTTTTATATCCTCCATGTGCAAAATTTTTAAAGGCTTAGTAAGCTACGTAAAGCAGCATCCGAGTACAAAGATCATAACTAGAAAAGATAATTGTTTGCTTTATTTCTTCATTTACTGTTCTATGTTTTAAGAAAAATAAATTGAAGACCTTATTTCAAAATAGCAATAATCTATATACATATATATAATGTATAATAATTTAAATGTGACTATTTTACAAAATGCTTGTCTACTAAAACACAGCCAAGACAAGTTGTAGAGGTTAGTTTTATGTTATTGGATACAGTAACATGAGTGCACATAAGCCGCATCATTGTAACTTTTGTATTGTTAGCTTGGCAAGGCTGAAAGGTCAATATAATAAAAACAATAAATATATATAAATGTATAATGTTATAATTTGTGTTTATTCTAGAATGAAAGAGGCATAATTTATATTAATTTCCTAAATTCTTTATGGTGATTATGAGGTCGGTCAAATCAACCAAACCCATACAGAGATTAATTACTTAAAATAACAGATAAAATATAAAGTTTTTTCTTAAGAAATGTTTGATAACTATCTGGACATTATAAAGATTTTGCATGTGAAATTGAGATTTTTTTTATGTATAAAAGTATTTTTAATCTTAAGATTAAAA